AATAAATCAATTTCAACATAGATTCATGTCAAGTTGGGTGACAGCATTGTCGACGGAAGACTATTTTTTTATTCTCAAGTCTATTCCTGTGGCCTATGCCAATAGGTCCAATCGATGTATATGTGCCGCAAGTGTAACACCTCGTCTGACACCTATCACTTTCGTTGCCTTCGATGGATTTCAATTCATAATAGATGGTTTGTTGCAAAGTTGCCTACCCATCGATGGCGTTCGACATTCAACATTGGAATGTTTCTACGATAGGGACTGTGTGACTATACTGGCTAATATGACTCAACTTTCGAATATGACTTCTATTCCTTCACTTGACTCATCCGCACCAAGTCGATTTTACCAAAATACCACTCTTAGCTCGATCATTGATGAATTATTTGTAGAGTCTTGGTATAGTCACTGGAATTATTCGAGTTACTTCACCGAATGTGCGCCTTCAGTATGTAGTTACACTTACATGCAACGAAACGGTGCTGTTCAGGTTTTTGGAACCCTTTTAGGCCTCTATGGTGGATTGACGGTGGCCTTGAGATTTATTGTTTGGTATGGAAATAGACTGTCTCGACTTATCTTAATGCGTGTTCGTCCTGTGCAACAATAGATGCAGAGACAAACGTACTGATCTTTGAATGGAATATTTCCTTTTTCCTTAAAATAAAAATAAATAAAATATCAAGAAAACGAGAGGAAATAAGACCGAGCCTTTTCTTTTCAAAACAACGACGTCTAGTTTCGAGGTAATGATATCTTTTGCGATGATTCATCCATTCCCAATACAAGAAAACATATTGGAGTCATAATCAAAGTTGAAGTTAAAAATGTATAATGACAAATAATATAAAAGGTGCAGAAGGCGAGGGACTTTTAATCAGGACTGTATGACTCTTTGTCTCCAATTGGATAAGTCATAGAAAATGAAGAATCGAACATTTTGAGTTGAAGTTTATATGATGACAATTATTCATCAAGATATGTTTCCATAAAAAAAAAAGTTCTGCTCAATGAGTCAGACTGTTCCTCAAGCATAATCCTGTTAGGACTTTTCTTGGCAGAAATACTGATTTTTAGTATTTTTCGCAATGTGGTGAAAAAAAGTCAACGGTTCAGTACTTTTCAAAATGGCTTGCGTCAAAATTCTTAAAAATCTTCTCTCTCTTAAATTATCCTGAATTGCAAAAATTCTGAAGACTTCGTATGAGCAGCTCCGGTCGTGGCTAAAGTGAAATGACTCATATAGCAAAACAAACATAGCTAAATGGAAATAGTAGAAAAATAAAAAAAAATTATCTAGTCTAATAAAAACTAAATTACGCGTATCAAATATAATGATCGATCGATTAATTAATAAAGAAGCTTATAGACTCTCATAAGATCAGCACAAAAAAAACAACAGATCTTCGTTTCTCAATAGAAAAATTAGTAAAAAGAAATGGAAACGATTTCGTTGGAAAGGATTGATGAAATAAAATAACGTATACTCATGACAGTTTATGTTTGAGTACAAAAAAAATTTCACAACGTATTAACATATAATAGACAAAGTTTCTAGAAAGGCAACTTTGTCTCTATAAAATATGTTTCATGATTTCTAAAACGGAGTAGTGTTTTGATCAAAAAAAAAATATTTTTTCATTCACATCTAAGAGTAAAACTTTTTGACATCAATATATTTCCTCATGAGTTGCTCCAAATCCAAAACGTACTTCAATATTCATATATGGATGTAATGAAAAAAACAATTGTTTTATATTTTGCGAACCATTTCTACAAAAACATGCTTGATTAGTTCTTTGTGTAAGCATACCACTATTTTTTAAACCAAAAAAAGTATATATATATATATACAAATTATTATTTTGATTAAATAACAAACCTAAAGAATATACTGACATATCACAATAAAGTCTTCTATCGTATTTATCAACATTTAAAGCATATTTATCTAAATGATTGTGACTTCATTTCTTACATAATATCATTGTTAAACTTTCACCAAAAAGAATAGCACCATCTAATGGACATAAAATAAAAATGTTACTCGTATGATTTAATAAGATATCAATTGAATTATTTCAACAACGAGTAAATAAATAAAAATATTTGTTGAGAATATTCATATCCACAGCCTGAATAACTTGATTGACAATGACAATGATCACCAACACTTGATAAGCGAACAAAAGTATCTAAAACTACTAAAAGAATTTTATTTCTTTAATTTTTATTTCCTTTAGAAAACAAAAAAAGCAAATCATTTTTTTTTCATCATAGATTTTCTAAACAAAATATTTCGACGTAGTTTTTCAACAGTTTTACATTTTTGCATAATGGCTAGTCATGATAACTATTTATCATTGAAATTAAAAATTCATTTTCAATCAAAGCAAAACTAAAAGAAATAAAATAACTACTATAATTCAATTTCAAAACACGTTGGCATTAATTATGTTCACTAACTTTCAGTTCATATAGATTTTTCTTATTATCATAAATATTCATGAAAACTAATTTTTTTTTCTTCAGATTTATTTGAAGTGTTTAATCGATAAATATCAATATTGAATCGTTCGTGCGATGCAAAAAAGTATCATTTTAATAAATGATTCATTATTTGAAACACTTTTAATAAGATTCATAGAAGAATAGAAAAAATTCGATGAACATTTTTCTATAGAACATTCGAATTAATAATCTGAAGAGTTCCAATAAAACTTAACACACTTGTTTTCCATAACTTATGAAGAAAGAACAAAACGAAATGAAAAACTTTTGTTTTGGGATTGACTAATGTTGAGTATTTTATTTTTTTTATTTTCGAAAGAGAATCGAATAGATAATATATTGACATCGAATATAAACTGAACGTACTTTGAACAATGTATTTTAGCAAAGATTGAAAATATAAATAGAAAAGAATCATTTTCTAGATCGTTTTAAAGTTGAACATATGTTTCATTCCTAAAACTATGCTAAAACATTCTCTTTATATGAAACATCATTTAAACGTACATCTAATAAGATTGTCGTTGTTTGTCGGGCTTGCAGCATTGTAAAAATCCATACAATCCTTGTTATCAAGAGCTATAGAAAATACTATATCATATATTAGTTTTAAAGAGAAAAATTTTTTTACAATTTAGACATTGATGATTTAAGTAAATCTCTAAGTTTACTTTCTTCAGTATGAAAAGTTGATTGATTAATAAATAAAAGATCCATTATTCTCTATAAATATTCACAGAAAAAGTCGAAATTTGATATCACTTAATGATAATGGCTCATGTGATGAAAATCGGCAGCTAATCCGCACTGTTAGATTCTCTGCTTTGCCGATATTTTTTTTAAATATAACAATTATCTTTGAATTTAACTAATTGATTGCACATAAAAATGTCTCAATGAACAGAGTATGAGTGTAGCAGTGAATGTAGATCAGGAACAAAATCACACCAACCACTACACACCCATCGTAGTCCCTGGTTGACTGAGTTCTCATCATGGGGAAATCCTATTAAGCAAGAGTTAGATATCGAAAACTCCTGATTGAGTGTGGATGTGGATAACGTACCTATCTTTGATCCACACTCAATTTATTTGCTTCACAACTAATGTCGGCTCCAGAAGTAAATGAGGAAAACTCAAAGAGGAATATCTCCTGAACGGATGTAGCTAGCGACCTGCGGTTTTCACCATTAGAAAGAAAAAGGCCAGGGCGTTCACACATGGTAAAATATAATTAGTCAGCAATGGACCAATCAGATGCATTTTCGATGGAAATGTTGGACACGGTATTCTGGAGCTGTTTCTCAGTTTTGTTTGATTGTTAATTTATGTTTTTGACAGAAAAAATTGTTCTCTTTCGATCTACGAAAAGCCCGCCTTTCTAGCTTGTTCCGTTCAAGCGCTACAAGAGTTTTCCTGAGACGCCTGATTTCACCCAACTGACGTTGGATCACCTAGGAAACAGTCTGGGATGGGATAATTCATCATGCTGAGTCGAATGGTAATATTTGGTTTTGGATTCGAAATCAGCTTACAATGCTTTTTACAGATTTTTTAAATTTCATAGGATCTACCGCTACCTATCACACAAGTCTATATTTGGGAAATATTGAGATAACACCTTAAGCTAATTTCGAGCCTAAAAAAAATATCACCATTCGACTCAGCATGATGAATTACCCCACCACAGACTGTTTCCTAGGTGATCCAAGGTCAATTGGGTGAAATCAGGGGTCTCAGGAAAACTCTTGTAACTCTTGAACGGAACAAGCTGGAAAGGCGGGCTTTTCGTAGATCGAAAGAAAACATTTTTTCTGTCAAAAACGTGAATTAACAATCGAGCAAAGTTGAGAAATAGCTCCAGAATACCGTGCTCAACATTTCCATCGAGAATGCATCTGATTGGTCCATTGCTGACCAATTATGTTTTACCCTGTGCGGATGCCCCTGGACGTTTTCTTTCTAATGGTGAAAATCCCAGGTCGCTAGCTACATCCGTTCAGGAGATATTCCTCCTTGAGTTTTCCCCATTTACTTCTGGAGTCGATATTAGTATTCCGACCCGTATGTATGTATCATCCTTGTTATGCACGTCACTGCTTCCTAACATAGATGTCCCACATTGCTATCAATTTATGATGCGTATTACTTTATTGTACATAACATGGACATGTACTTTGATATTTCTGTTTTTCTCTCACTCAATAAATTACTTATGAGAGACATAAAATATGTGGTATAATAACATATATGTAGAAGAAGAAAAAGAAAAAATGCTTCGAAGAGGAGGTTATTGAAAAGAATTGTATTGGCTACGTATCCAAGACAACAAAAAACAAAACAATAAGCTCAGAAAAATAGATTATGGTACTTTTTCTCATGTTTAACCATCAATCATGCGGTTTGTATTTGAAATGAAATAATATTTAAATTTATTAATGGAAAAACAGTATAAGGAAACTTGTTATCCTGTAACAAGAGACATGTCGTCATCATCTCAGTTTGAAGAAGTATTGCCCAATGAATTGATATTAATGATATTTGAATATTTAAAAGCTTATGATTTATTTCAATCCTTCTACAATCTGAATAGAAGATTTAATAATTTATTTCATTCTATACCTTTATATCATATCGATTTGAATAATATTGAAGGAAAAGCAACATTAGATTATTATCAGCATTCAGTTATACCAAAAATTCAATATCAACAAAATGAACCAGCAATTGTTTTCGATATGAATGATGATAGATGCCATTGTATGAGAATTCTCAATCAATTAAAACTAATGAATTTAAAATCATTAAGAATAAAAAACTTGAATGCAGATAATGGCATTTATTTACTATCAATATTACCAATGTTTAAACAACTAGCGTTCTTATGCATTCAATCAAAAGTTGATTTAAATTTAAAACAATTTTTACAAATAATTACCATGACTTCATTAAAACAATTTCAACTTTTGTTTTTGAATTATTATTATCCTTCATATGGATCAATAGAATCACAAATAACATTATCAAATATTGAATATTTATGTATCTATAGATATTTTCGAATTACACAACTTCAAGAATTACTTCGATATTTACCAAAATTAAAAAAACTGTTTATATATATTAGATCTAGTGGTTGTTCAACGTCTGTTAATAATAATCTTCATCAATTTGTACCAAATTTAAACGATTTACAATTATTTGTACAAGATTTAGGTATCTACATGTTGCTATTATTCTCAAAATATTTTATGATTAATGATGCTTTTTTCATTGTACGTAGAAAGAGTTCTTTGTTTTTCACTTAAACATGGTGTTTGGTAGAGAGACAGTCCTCTATAAAAACTAAAATATCATCTAGCACTTCATGATATTTTCTTTTAGAATTATGATCATCATGCTGATGAAGGAGGATACTGTTCTGATGATAAGACTAATGAGTTTGGATCTATGACTCTTATTCGAAGAGTCAACTATAAGTAACTACTTATTTTGAAAAGAAAACTTTTCGACGTAAGAACTGTATAGAAAGCCAAGGGATGGATTACGATGAGAAATTTTTGGCGAAGGCTAGTCCAAAATTCGAATAACTAGGAGGATTTTACTATTGTTTAAAGTTACTTGGCTTCTAAAGATATTTAAAATGTTAGGAACTAACCATGCAATCCTTTAAAAATGCATTTGTAATCTCGTTATACTGTGGAAAGTCAAATTTGGCCGATGCATGCTGAAGTGTTTGCACATTGACAACAGCTTGTTCAATGTGTTTATAATACTCTCAAGTTGTGCATAGATATAATAAGAATAGAAACTAAAGAATGAGATAATTCTTCAGTTTTTTTCCGTACAAGAACGGAAGATAAAATTCAGATTACACAGCGACAATTTGAAACTAGAAATCGAAGAGGTACGAATGTTTTCTTTCTGTACTCGAGTATAAAATTTTTCGAAAAAGCTGACGATTCTAAAAATATTGATCTTCTTTTGATACGAATATAGCTAAGAAGGTCATCAAATTTTTATATTATAGATTAAAACCCATCGCAGATACAAGTAACCAAAAAGTTGTACTTAAATATAGTTGACTAAGAGTACTATCTCGTACTGATCCATCTCTAACTTACACATTAATTTGACTTTATATTACATCTTGACAGATACACTTTGTATTTTTTGTTTCGTATGTTTTGAAAAGAACAAAAATATTTTAACGAGAATCGTATTTTTAAGAATTGATAAAGACATCAAGAAAGTATACGATGATGAGCTATTTGATTTGAGAAAGTTTAGAGTAAAACTAAAAATTAGTATTTTTCAAGCTGAATCAGAACTCGAAACAGGGATGATTCTTTAATTCCTGTCTTTTACTCTTATGTCCACCACTATATTTTATTGAAATATTCTTGATTATAGTTCTTTTTGTGTACTCAAAAATTGAGTACACTCTAGAATCGGTCAGTGTGTCCGTCCGTCCGTCCGTTTACACGATAACTTTTGAAAGGGGAGTCCGATCACGATGAAATTTTCTATACAGTTCAGTCTTAACAATGTCTCGGTCGAGTTCGAAGATGAGAAGGATCCGTCAAGAAATGGCTGAGTTATCAAAAAAATTGTCATCACTGAGAAGGCCATCCCTGGGGGGGGGGGGGGACAGGGATTTTTTCAAAAAAAAAAGTTTTTCTCAAAATTATTCACAACATATATAAATCGACTCAGTTATTAACGGTGATTCCGAATGTGATATTAGTTTTGAACCAAATCGTAGCTTTCTAACAAGACATCTCCCGAAAAAGGTCTCAAAACGCAGAAAAACTACATGAAGAAAGCAAATAGTCTAGATATGTCTCAGATGATAAAAAAAACACAGCGAATATAGCTTTTCACCTTTTGAAGTACAGATAACACTCAGATTTAAATCCGATGTTTTCGCAATTATTTAATGTCAACCACGAAGCCGCCTCCACAAAGCTTACGTGTGAGTTAAGTTTAAGAAACTTTATTCCATAAGAAAGGTGAATGGTTAAAAAATTTGCTTTAAATTAGAAGATAAAATTTCTTCAATCAGTCCAAAATTCCGTTGTTTACTCCCAAAAAAATGTTTTCTAAGAATAATTTAACCTGTTCTACGAAAAAGAGAAACTCAAAATCTTTGTATTTAGACGCTTTTTTTTCGATAAATTTTTAGTTTTAACTTCTTACTATTGATTATATTGAC